TGGCTTTGGCAATCTTGGCCACTCTTCCTTAGGGAAGGGAAGCAGAAATCACTGGTGGACCTGAAGCTGTCTGAGCCACAGTGCATTTTTAATATTGTTGTTAGATCATATCAAATAATTATCCATGTAGCACCTTGAGGCAAAATTCATATTTTTAAAACAGATATAATGTAATTAAATAAATACTTATTGTACCTATCATTTTTATTTTTGAGAAGTTGCCTTTTTGTTGCAAAATATGCCTTAGCTATGTACTCAAAGATGAGAACAGATTTTGATTGATGTTCAGCTGTCTCTATTATACTAACTTGTATTCCATTCTTTCTCCTGTAACATTGATTTGCTCTTCTGAATTACTCTTTAGTAACTCCTTCCCACTTAAGTGTAGGGATATAGGGAGAAGAAAGAAGATTGCTCCTTCTTCTTCTGCTCTTAGAATAATTTCAATACTGCTTTAAGGTAGAGATGATATAAATGCTGTTGGTCACTATGGCCATGTTTTACCTACTAGATTTGGAAGGTGAAGCTTGTACTTGGCAGGTTCACTAGTTACTTCTTGTTTTTCTAATTCCTTCTGCCACAGATGTGTGGTTTAGAAATGTCCAGTGTCTGGAGTCAGCACCTCAGTCAACCTGTGGCATATTAATCTGCTATGAAAATTTTTGTAGGAAGTAAGAAGTGTTTATTGACTTACTAATGCATTCAAACATAGATAATAATTTAGATAAACCTTTTGTAGTTAAGAATTTATAAATTTATGTACTAGGAAGTCAATTCCAACAAGGATTCTTGGTATAACTAGGGAATTGCTGGGAAACTTTTAAATAGAAGTACTATCCTTGCTCTCAAATAGCTTATATTTTAAGTTAAAAAGTCATTTATGGAAAATGAAAAAAATGTTCATTTTATAAATTATATAATCTGCCTCTACCTGAAGATCTTAAATAAAGCTATTTAGCTTCTACTTTTCTAGAAACAGAGAACAATAGCCATGAATAATTTTAAGCCTTTGAGTATCTTAACCACTCACACAGATGTCCCTGAAGATAAGATTTTATTTTGAGCAGATGACAGCTGAATGATTTGCAAGCTTCAGGCCCAAGTTTCATAGGATAAGCCAAAGTGTGGACAATATTTTTAACTGTGAAATAAACTTTTATCATTTTCATTAGGAGTGGCCCCAAAAGTTTATTCCAAATATCTCCATCATGAAAATAAAATATTTTATTTGTGAGTAAAATTATTTCCTAAAGGTAATATTACTAAACATAGATCTAATACTCTACACACTTTTCAAAGTGATTTAGAACTATAATTGCCCTCAAGCATTAAAAAAATGCCCACAGCTATGTTATTACTGACCATCTCAAGTAAACACTCCTATTTCATAGGTAAAGACCAAATCTATCCTATTTCTGCCAGAGAATGTATTGTGATAATGCTGTACGTATTGAATTGTCCCTCATGACCCATGTGTTAAAGACTTGGTCCCCTGCGTTGAAGATAGTGGGACCTTTAAGAGGTGCAGCCTAGTGAGAGGTCATTAGGTCACTGTGGACATGCCCATCATGTGGGTTGTGGTCTCTTCCTCTTTTTCTTTTGCTTCATGGCCATGACATGAGTGTTTTTGCCCTACCATACTCTCCTGCCATGATGCGCTGCTGATGTACAGGCCCCTAAAATGGCGCCAATTGATCATGGACTGAAACCTCCAAAACTGTGAGCCTAATCAGATCTTTTCTTCTTTGTAAGTTGATTGTTACAGATAGTTATTATATTGACAGTAAGCTGACTATCACAGGTAAATTCACTCTTGGATGCTGGTGAGGGATTCTGTATTAACCACAGTTTTGTGCTGGATATAGGCATCTCCTCTTGGATCTCTTTCAGACTCAGAAGCCAGTTTAAAGAATAAACTGGACTGAAAGGAGAATCCTGGGCTCAGCAAAGAAATGCAATCCTGTGAAGCCTCTACTTTCCTACAAATCTCAGAGAGACTGCTTTATTCTATTATTCCTACACTCACTATCAGGATTCACCCTTGCCTTTGAAGACATGTTAGATCATTCAGGAGGAATATCTAATAGAAAGAAATAAACTCTTGGAGTGTGTTAAAGGATTGACTAATGGTATAACTTAAGTTTACCTGGTAAATGTTTGGCCTACAACTTTTTATATTTAATGCTCTTAGAGTTTCCAAGGATGGTTCATATGTTTGCAGAAAAACATTTAATATTTTTCTTGAACAATTAAGTTATACTATGCTAAACATGGACTATAAGAATATGTTAAACCTTTTGTCCCATTATTCAGTATTATTTATTGAGTTTTATAAAATTAACTATTTGGCTATTAAAAATTTGATTAATATTACAGTCTTCCTCAACTGAAATAAATAGTTTTGCAATTAGTGTTATCTGTGATATTTGTGTATTCAATTTGAATGATTTTTAAAGTGCTGTTTATATGTAACAAATATGAGGAATCCTATAAGTCAAGGGACATGGAATTATAAACAGTGACCATCTAACTTATCTGTACCAGGATGCTTTTGAGAGTAAAAAGGGATATATTAGCAATTATATTGAGATAATAGTCCTGTACTGAGACTGTCCGGGACAATCTGGAAGATGGGAACTCTGTTTAACCTTTTTGTGAATTTACTTTGCCTGCATATATGAAGTGATTGAGTTGGATTAGTTCAGTGGTCTATAAACTATAACCCACAGGCCAAATCAAGCCTGATGCATATTTTTACAAATAAACTTTTATTATAACACAGCCACATCAATGTGTTTACATCTTGTCTGTGGCTGTTTTCACTTCATACCAACAGAATTGAAGTATCACCACAGGAACTTTGTGCTTCCCTACACCCAAATGTAAAATATTTACCATCTGGCCCTTTATACAGAAAGTTTACCTGTCCTGGGATTAGATAAATCTAAGGGTTCATGCAACTCTAACATTCTGCAATTTTTTTTTATTATCTTTGTTGCTTCAATTCAGATATTGTTTGTTGAATAAAGAAGTAGCTGTGCTTGGCAAATTTTATTTCAAAATTGCTAGAATAAGCTTTTGCAAAAGCAGCTGGTAGATGTGCAAGCCTTGGAAATTCACCTGCTGAGGACTTGCTGCTGTGTTTCAGGGAAGGTATGGCAGAGGGGCAGCATATGGGATGAAGGGCAGAAGTGGATCTGAGTGAGGAGTGGGAAAATGACTCATCAACAACCAACCTGGGTGGGAAGGATTCCTTGATCCCAGGGGCTCTGAGAAATTTGAGGAAGCAGTCATTCATCAAACTTGGCCTTCTATGAGAATATGTAGATAAAAGCCCTGTGTCTTGTTTACTGATTTGAATTTTAAAAAGTTTTTTTTTCCTAAAACTTTGTTTCAGTTATAACCTTCTGAATGCACTTGAATAATTAGATTATTTTGCAGCATTAGCCTTGAAGAACTCCAACAGTGTCTTGGAAGTAAGTTTCTGTGTGTCTCAGGAAGAGGTAGTTAGATAACAGATCATGTAGATCCCTGTATAGACTTTGACTTTGCTTGCAGTGAGCTGGGAAACCACTGCAGGGGCTTGTACAGATGCATGATACATCTGACTTGTGTTTTAAAAATGCTAAATACAGCCAATGTGTGGAAACTAGAAAGAATGGGATCAAGATTAAAAGTAGTAAGAAAGAATGAAGTTATTGCAAGAAGCCAGGTGAGACATAATAACAGATCTGACCAGGGAAGTAGCAGTGGAGATGTTAACTGCAGATATAATCCAGGTATCTTTTGAAGGTTAATTTGATAGGTGAGGAGGGATATAGAGTGAAAGCACAGAGATATATTAAAGGTGACTCCCAGACCTTAGGGCTGAGCAACTTCATTCATGGGGATACTATTCACTGACATGGGTAGGGTTGCCCGGTCTCACATTTTTAAAAGGACAGAAATATCAGGACCTTTGTTTTGAAACTTTTGAGTTTGAGACGTGTATTTGACATCTTAATATGGATATGTTGAAAAAAATAATTGGACATATGAGGTTGAATTTCAGGATGGAATTCTGACTAAAGTGATAATGTATTCCAGTTGAATGGAATTAATATTGAATCAATATATATTTATTTCAGTTCATTGAGCTTTTCCCCAAACATATACATATTTGGTTCATTAATTAATTTCTCCCCAAACATGTGTGTGTGTGTATGTATGTGTGTGTGTGTATCAAGATAGAAAGAATGCATATACACACATCTGCAGCAGCATAAATAATATTTAAAAGCATGACACTGCAGATCACAAAGGGAATAAGCACAGGTAGAAGTCACAGACCTAAGCCCTTGAGCCATAATCTAGGAAAAGAGACTAAATAGGAGTTACTGGTGAGGAAGGAAGAAAATCAGGTTTCATAGGAGCAAAGTGAAGAACTATTATTAGCATCAAATGTCAAGATTAATGTGAGAACTGGAGATTGGCCTCTGAATTTAAATGTGTAAAAGTCACTGGTGATACGAAGAGCAGTTTTAGTGGCATAGTATGGATGAAAGTCTAATGAACATGTATTTAAAAGAAAATTGAAGGAAAGGAACAGAAGTCATTGTGTATAGACAATTCTTTTGGTTGAAGAACATCAAGAACCCAGCAAGTCAGGCAATTGCCCACTAAGATAGGGGAATGATACATCATGGAGGAGAATGGGTATCTCAGAAAGAGGATGTTCAGTAATTTGGAAAAGGTTTTAAGGAAGAAATTCTTTGTTTTGGATTAAAAGCTGTCTGAAAGCAGAGATGATTACATGATTGAATTTCTTAATATTGTTTTATCAGCAGGGCAGGAACACCAAGATGAGGCCAAAGCTGTAATTAATAAAGAAGTATCAACCACTCATATTAGGAGGGTGTTTGGTGCTTTGTATAATGACCTTGTTTTTATCTGTGCTTAGATAAAATTGTGAAGTGGACTGTTTTTCAAGTCACTTTATCATAACAATATCACAGAGTAACCTTGCATGATAGTGATGTTCTGTAAAGTTGTTTATGTTCCAAGGGAAAACACCAAGGTCTTGCGGGGGATGACTCAGTAGATCATCACTGAGCAGGAATCAAGAGGACACAAAGGTTTGAATTTTGTAACTCAATTCTACTATTTTGTATTGTACTATTCATTGTTCAAAAAAAAAAAAAAAAAAAAAAAAACTAACATGTTTGGGTTTATTTTGCTTTCTCTGTTACTTTTCTAACTCCAGGGCTCCATGTTTGGGGGTTTAGCCATTACCTAACACATAGTATTGTAAGAGTTATAAACAGGGCAGATGATGTGGTAAAAATTTATATGTCATAATGCAACAAACTTGTTAGTTTTATTTGGCCATAGATTCAAATAGATCATCCATTCCAATCTGATCAATAATGCATCTGAGAACATTTATTTGAATACATTGAGGCCCAAAGTCTTTGGGTGTGTGGTCTAAAACTCTACCCTGCACCGCTTCCAGACTTTGTTTCTTACTTATGAGAGATGTGTTATCTTTCCTGTATCATGACCAACGCATTTAGGCTCTAGGTCAGTGCCTATTAGCTGTAACTAAATTTTACTGAATGTTAAATTGTTTAATAAAAATTGTTTTTATTAAATTAATTGTTTGGTAACACCATCACATTAATAATAGTTCTGGATAATAGAAACATTTTTATCTTCTTCGTCTTTTTTTGTGCATTTGGTGAGCAAATACAAAAACTATATTCAAAAAGCCAAAATTAGTATAAATTTGCATAATATTAGTCCCATGTAAAGTTTAATTTTATCTACCACAGTATAAGTGATATTTTTTTCTGATTTTTCTAGTTGGACAAACCAAGAGTAATTACCATAACAACTGTAATTATTACCACTGAGATAAAGTGATTTTTTTTTCTTATGACACACTTATCAATATGTTCATAATACAAAAGTTAAAAATTCACAATGTGGAAAAAAATCTCCCTCATATCCCTAAGCCACCCAAGACCCATATCTATATACACTCATGGTTATAAACTTTAAACATCATTCAGAGATATTCAGTACTTAGGCAATATACAAGCATTTATAAATTGCGCTTTTTATTTTACAAAAATGCTCTACACTTTCTTTTTTACTTAACAAAATATCTTGGGGGCCCAAGGATTGTTCCATTAAAAAATATAGAGTTATGATATTATTTTGGGTAGGTAATATCTGTGTATACATATGCAAAAATATTTCAATAATGCCCTGTTATTGAATATTTAGGCTATTTTTAAATTTTTGCTGAACAAATAATTCATATATATATTTATACACACACACACATACACACACACACACACACTTTTTTTGTGTGGTCCTGGGGATCGAACCCAGGGTGTTGTACATGCAAGGCAAGCACTCTACCAACTGAGCTATATCCCTAGCCCAACTTATACTTTATATCTGAGGAAAAATACTCCAGGAGTAAAATTTCTGAGTCAAAAGTGGTAGACATTCTTACATTTAGTAGTTATTATTGAATTTGTATGTAAGAAAGTTGTACCAATTTTTTCTTCTACTAGCAGACTATAAGGGTGTCTGTTCCCCCTCCATTACTAAAGAATTTTATGAGCAAACATTTTTGTTATTGCTAGTTTGTTGAAAGACAAATATTACTGCAATTTTATTTTTCTTTTGAGCTTCTAGGCTTTCTTCTAGATATAAAATCGAATTGTTATAAATATAATATTTTCCACAGTTTGTATCTTTTGACTTGGTGATATTTCTCCTATGGAGACATTTTTTAGTTTTATGGAGTTGATCAATTTTTGATTTTGTAATTTTTGGCTTTTGGGTTATGTAGACTGGTTGCCCAGTTCTACAGTTATCAAAAATGAAATGAATCAATACACAAAATGGCTTTTATGATATTTTCTAGTATTTTATTTTATTATTTTATTTTTAACAAATGCTTTTTTCACCCGGAATGTTAAGGGGCTATAAAATGTGAGACATGGATTCAAATCAAAGTTTTCCAGTTTCTATTTTATTTTTCATTATCTTTTATTGACAAATTTATCTTTTATCATATAGAACAACTGTTAAAATTTAAAAAAATATTTTCACAGCCAGCATCTATCCAGGTGATTCCCAAGAGAAAACAATTTGTATATTACTAACACAAATGCTGCTTAATCAGATATAATCTTCTTTTATTATAAGCATAGGTTCTGTTGGCTAAGTATATTTTATAACCATTTCATAAATATTCATAAGTAAAATTGATCTCTAGATTTATTTTCCTGTGCTGTCTTTTATGACTTTAAATATCAAGAGTTGAGGAAAAAATTTCCTTATAATAATTGGGGAGATGTTCATGTCATATGCAGGAACAGCTTAAAATCACATTAGAATTATCTGTAGAGTTTGCAAAGTTCCCCTGAGAGCACATCTGGACCTATTACTTTTTGATGAGAAGGAACGTTTTGAAATTTTACTTCTATGAAAAGTAGTATGTTTATGATTTTGCTATGTATACCGAGATCAATTTTGTTAAATTATCGTTCCCAAGAAAGTGATCCATTTCAAAATGATCCACTTTGGGTGGCAGAGTTTAAGTTTCTGAGTTTGTAACTGTGATCTGGTGTTGTATTATTATCATGTGTACTTACAATGAAAGGGAATTCTCTTTTCAGTGTGAATATGGTAACTAGAGCTATATGATTATGCTATTTAAGTTTTTCTCTTTATCTATATTATACATCTGATAAAAATAAAATTAATGGAGTTGAACAAAAGCTCCCACTGTTAATATACTTTCCCCAATTTACCACAAATTTTATCTGTTTTATTAATGTTAGAACTATCTTATTAGACAATTAGGCATATATGACCATCAAGACTCTCTGTGTACTCTATCTTTTATCAATATAAATAATATTTTAATTTTGTCATTGTATAAGTCAGTGTTTGGGGGACTTTCTATTCTATTCTTCTGTGTATTTTTATCTTATTGCCAACATTGTGACATCTTAGTTACTAGAGCATTATAATAACCCCTTTTAATAGGGTAGGACAGTTTCCATGCTACCTCACTCATGGCAGTCATTCTTCAAATTTTTCTTCTCTATTTTTCATGATTTACTCCTCAGTATAACTTTTTAGAAGTGATTTACCACGTTTCAAGACATACGTATTGGAATTTTGATTAGAATTGCATTACATCTATAATCTCTCTGAGAACAATATAGATCTTTACAATATTAGATATTCTTATCTATGAATATAGAATATCTCTTCCTTTGTTAAACCTCTTTCAATGTCCTTCAGTAAAGTTTTGTAATTTTCCATGTGTGGGTCTAGAACAACTATTTTAGATATACTCCTGCTAAGTATTTTATAAATATTTCTGCTATAGTATCTTTTAAAATCTTGTTTTCTAATTGTTTGTTACTGAATGATAGAAATGAAATTGACTTTTACATATTGCCTTCATATCTTTTCATTTTGCTGACCTCTGCTAATATTTCTGAGCCCTACTATCTGCAAATATTTATATTTATATTTTTCATACTTTTCTTGGCTTTGTGCTGGTAAAAACCTCCATAAGGAGCTAAGAATGAAATCAGTGGATATTTTTATTGTATTCTTGATTTTAGAAGACCACTTACAATGTTTTTTTTTTTATTTAAGATGGTTATTTTAAGTTTTTTTCAAATAGATGCACTGTACCAAGTTGAAATGTTCCCTTCTATTTTCAGCCAATTAAAAGTTTAGTGATGGATCATTGTTAAATTTATCAAATGTTTTCTCTGTGTTTACTTAGATAATCTCAGTTTTTTAAAAAAATGTGCTAATATAATAACTCCCCTATGCAGACAATTATAAAATTAGTATATGTCAATAACCCTCTCTCTTCCTTTTTCTGTCACTCTTAGTTGATATTAGTTTTATGTTTCTATTTGAGTTTTTAAAAATGTTTCTACTACCCTTATTTTTCTCATTTGTCTTGAACCTCATACATTGAAGATGAAAAATTCATATAATAACATTCTCTTTCATCTTTCCTCACTATCCTTTCACCAAATTTTTACTTATATTTCTTTATCATTAGTCTTTACACCCAGCTTTCTATAAGTATAGTGTGATTTATTTCAGTATTTAGGTAATAGTAAAATTAACGCTACAATTAAATAATCACATCCATTTTCTTTTCCATATCTCCTTTCATGGAATGTATTCTTTCGTATGTTTTTTTCAAGAAGCACTTTTTTGAAATTATATTACCTATTGCCTTTCTATTTCAATAAATGCTTGACTATGTTAAACATTGTTGGCTTAAGAACTTTGTTAGCACAGTTTAATTTTTTAATAGTGCATTATAATTCAACATAATAATGGGGTCATTTTGACAAATTCATATATGCCACATAACATAGTTTGCTCCAGTTCATTCCCCAGAACTACTTTTTCCCCTCCCTTCTTCCCTCCTCTCTCTCCTCTTTTTTTTTCTGTTTATTTATGTATAAATTTTAGAACACTATAGTCATGAATAGAAGTGGAATTCATTCTGATATACCCATACATGCAGATAGCATAATTTGAATTTTTTTTTGGATGGAAACTCTCATGACTTTTATTTTCTCTCTCTCTTTTTTTGTTCTAATTAGTTATACATGACAGCAGAATGCATTTTGATTCATTGTACTCAAATGGAACACAACTTTTCATTTCTCTGGTTGTACACAATATAGAGTCCCACCATATGTACAGTCACACATGTACCTAGGGTAATGATGTTCATTTCATTCCTTTATCTTTTCTGCCCCCATGACCCCACCTCTCTTCTCCTCCCCTTTGCCCAATCAAAGTTCCTCCATTCTCCTCACCCCCCACCATTATGGATCATCATCCACTTATCAGAGAGTACATCCAGCCTTTGATTTTGGGGATTGGCTTACTTTGCTTAGCATGATATTCTCCAGCTCCATCCATTTACCTGAAAATGACATCACTAACATTTCATTTTGTATCTATACCACAGTTTCTTTATCCATTCATCTATTGAAGGGCATCTAGATTGCTTCCACAGTTTAGCTATTGTGAATTGAGCTGCTATGAACATTGATGT